TAATGGACCCTATTTTAAGGAGTTTAGATACATCATCCTTGATGAATGTATGCTTCATCTCGGACTGTGGTCTCTTTTTCTACTTAGCTGGATAGAAATTCGGGTCCAAACTCAGCTTATGGTTAGATCCCTGACATGTCAATATGGGACCAAGAAAAACAATCTATGTTACTTATAAGAAATTCAATGAGTTTTTCTCTCTGCTCGGGAGTTAACCTCGTCCCAGGTATACCTTCCGATTGGGTAAGTGTTTGATCAATATGACTTGCTCCAACTCCTCGACCGTCGATTTGGTGGCATCAAAATTATTAGGAGCTATGAATGATCTAGGAACTCCTTAATCATCCTCCTCGTCTACTCATCGCTCTTCGGGTTTGGTTGGGACCGGTATCGGTAATTTCTATTTAATTTCTTCTTTCCTGGTCTGTTCTATGTTCTTTGATGCCGAGACCACGAGCACTGGGATCACCTCATCAACTGCGACCATTTTTTTTGTAGCCGGCTACTCTCTACTCCCGGCGTAGGGAACATCAATGCCTGGTGTAAGGTTGATGGCACCCTTTCATGTTATGAACCCATGGCCTTCCGAATAGGGAGTTATACCTCATGTACCCTTCGATCACGTAGAATTTTGTATTTTGGATCATCCCCGCGATGATAAGTGATAGGGCTATTTTTCCTTTAGAAGTTTCACATACCATGTTAAATCCATTCAACACCTAGATCGCCGACACTATTTGATCTTGTAACCCTAACTGCTCTACTACCCTCGATCTAATGATGTTGGCTGAGCTGCTTGGATCAATTAACACATATTTAACTCGATATTTATTGATAAGTATGGATGTTACCAGTACTTTATTATGAGGTTGTATGATACCTTCAGCATCCTCGTTGCTGAATGAAATGGTTCCCTCTAGGATGTAATCTCGGGTGCACTTTTCCCTTGTGATAGATACTTTAATGTGCTTTATCATTGGCCTCTAGGGGACATCGACCCCTACAATGATCATGTTAGTAGTGTGCTGAGGTTCTTCTTATTCAATCTGTTTGTTGGATTCCCTATTCCTGAAGTAGTTTTTGGCCCGATCACTCAGAAATTCTTGGAGGTGCCTGTTACTAAACAACCTAGCAACTTCTTCTCTCGGTTATTAGCAGTCCTTGGTCTTGTGGCCATGAGTGCCATGATACTCACATATCAGGTTAAGATCTCTCTAGGTAGGGTCGGACTGCAATGGTCGAGGCTGCTTGGTTTCCTTGATGCGCCCAATAGCTGATACGATACTAGCTGCATCAACGTTGAAGTTATACTCGGAAAATTTTGGTGCTTCCCTTCCCCCGAGGGGCCTGCCAAAACCATTTTTGCTCATCGAACCTCGGCTATTAGGCCTTCGATCGCTTCTCTTTTCATTCCTTGTAGAGCTGCGCCCAGGCTAATTTCCTCTTCGATCTTCACTATACGGTTGATACTGATCTTGGACTGGCCTTGATTCATGATCGACGACTTTCTTAGACCTGTCGACAATTCTATTGGGATAAACGGACCCAGAAGGGCTTCGAGTTGGTCCTCCTCGACTCTAATTTTTTAACTGGTACCTGTTGTGAATGTGGGTTCAAGTTACCACTGGATACTCTACCAAATTCTGTTTTAGCTGCTTCAAGGCCGAGGAGCTTCGGGAGTTAAGTCCTTGAATGAATGCCTGAACGACCCAATCATCTGTAACCGGAGGCAAGTCCATCTATTCCATTTGAATCCTTGACACGAACTCCCTGAGCATCTCATTGTCTCTTCGCTTAACCTTGAAAAGACATGATTTTCTAGTCTCGATCTTGATGGCCCCGACATGAGCCTTCACAAAAGCTTATGCGAGCATAGCGAATGAGCCAATGGAATTTAGAGGTAAGTTGTAGTACCATATCATTGCTTCTTTTGACAGAGTTTCCCCGAACTCCTTTAGTAACACCGACTCGATATTGTCGCCTTCTAAGTCGTTGCCTTTGATGGCGCATGTGTAGGAGGTCACATGCTCATTCAGATCCGTGGTTCCATTATATTTTGGAATATCAGGCTTATGAAACCTCTTCGGTATTGGCTTTGGTGTCACGCTCAGAGGGAAATGCTTTTGGACAAATTTCTTGGAATCCAATCCTTTCAATATCGGGGATGCTCCTGGGATTTGATTGACCCTAAAAATTTATGTCTCCATTTTCTTGTCGTTTGCCTCAAATTTCTTTTCACAAGATTCCACCCATTTCGTTAATGCTTCAAGCATTTTCATTACTTCGGGTCTGACACTACACTCAGCTTTACCCGGTCTTTCGGTGATCTGCTTATTTAATCGGGTGTTTTCCCGGGATAGTTCAGGCTCAACTCTGATAGGGGTGTGGCTTTGATTTTGCAGCTGCGTTATCGCCGTCTGTTGAGCCTGCAATATTTCAAAGATTAACCATAGGCTAACCCTGTCGCCTTCGCCTTCGGGCGCTCCTCGAGCCATTGGTCGAGCTCCTCCGGTAACGCTGCTCTCGGGATCGGTAGGCAGGTTGGCATCGATGACCACTGAGTTTGCATCGACTAGGTCTGCAACTGGGACTCTGTTGGGATCAGCAGGGGCACCTTGTTTCTAGGCACCACATTGTTGTTTTCGCCATGATGGCCAGGCTCAGCCTCAACGTTCAAGTGAGCAGACTGAGAATTTAAAATTTTTAAGCTGACATGAAATTGAGACCTTAAAGAAAAAATGTAAAATAGAGTGTGTTATGGACATTTGTATCAAACCACCACTATTATCCTTAGTCCGAGGTGAGCGCCAAATTGTTTACCCTTAAAATGGATAACAATTAAATTTGTACGCTGTTTTAAGGATATGTGGATTTATTCAACACAAGTAATCAAGATTGTTAGATAAACGAATTAAAGATAAAATGAGTAACCAAACCAGTTGTGACGTTAAGGCCGGGATCATATTTAAGCTGAACAATAGTTTTATCCTTGACCGGACCCTCGATTCGAAGCCAAATGTATATGAAGAACTACGATTAAAATAAGAGTTTTTCAATAGCTAGAAAGCAGAGAAATAAGTTGTATTGCCTTGATATGCGTGTTACAGTGTGTCTATTGAATAAAAAGCTTCCCCTTTATGTAGTAGAAGAGTTTCATCCCTAGTAAAATTCTAAAAAGATAAAAAGCATCCTTTCTCGTTAATTACTGATATGCTACCGACATTGGCGAGATTTGCACCGTAGTATCCGGTGGGGTGCGGATATTACGGTCCTCCCTTAGCCGTGTGCAATCGTTGCCCTGCTTTTTGAGGTTTCAGAGCTTGTTCTAGGTGCGGGGAATGTTGTCTTATTTGGGCCAATGGCTAGGACTCCATTCGGGCCTCGGTACAAGAAGTTCCCGGCTCCGACTCCGATCCCATGTAATCATATCCTTGCTTCGCTTGACCCTTCGGGAGATCAGGGTATGTGTTAGCCCCGGCACCCGTATACAAGTATATCAAACCTTCAAAGCAGATGTAGATATGTTATCCGGTTCATTTGAACTCAGTACTTTTGACGCGAAATATAAATTTATATATAAAAAATTCAAATAAATTTTAAATAGTAGCTATAAATTCATAACTTAAAAATATAATAGGTTTAATGGTAAAAATCTAAAAAATTGAACTCACAGAACTTAAATTCTAAATCCGTCTCTACAAAACAATTACATAGTATAGTTCCTTCACATATGTCACCATCAATAAGTGAAAACATATAGGAGGGGACATGATAATTTACTTACCATACTAGTATAAACGAGAAAAAAATTAACATTTGTAAACCATATCTCATTGACAAATAAAGCTTTATGTAAAATTTAAAAAGAACTTTTAATCGCCTCAAATTTAACTTGTAATGTCCCTCTATGCATATGCAATCAAACCTCTCTATAATAGTCTTATTTGTTCCAGATATTTTTGGATATCATATCGAATTGCTCTTATAGAAAACATATACTCCTATTACATAACAGAATATGAAATTCGGTTCCGAAAGAACTTGATTTTTATAGTGAGATGCTGTTATATAAGAGTGCTGTTATAGAGAGGACTGACTGTATTATATTGTCCATCTTTCGAAGATTGCCCCTAGACGGAAAGATGACTCATGCTTGACATATTGGAGAGCACTGGATAGATACACCGTTCTTCAGAAACATAATATTTAGCAACCTTTAGAAGTTAAAAAACAACCAAAATATGGTATAATTGCAAAGCAAGTTTGATGAGAAAACAATCTGTACAAGTCATGATGAGAGGAATGGTATAGGTCCCATGTAATTTCTGCTTTCCACACTAATGATAATGCAGTATTCAGTTTAAAGTAACCTTGACAAGAGACTAAAATTAATGGAGATGGTGAGAGAACTAATTGAGTGAGCACAAAAATAGAGATGGACAAGACTTATTAATCAAAGAATATAGTTTTGAAGATATAATTGTTCGAACTTATACTGAAAATAGACGTAAGAGGTACTCCGGTTTCAAATTAGGTGATGTACTTTTTTTTTAAAAAAAAATTCAAATTAAATAACATATTTTTAAATTAGAAAATAAGTCAACTATAAACATTTTTTTACTATTAATGAGAAGTTTTTATAACCATATCAATATCATGGTATCACAAAATTTTTACCCCTTAAGTTTTTAAGATCATAAATTTAAAAAAAAAAAAAATTTCGTATCAAATCAAACTATTGCGTAGCTTGAAACGGAGGAAGCATGTATTTCGAGAAATGCCATACATGCTAGAAATTCCTCAATAATGAGAATTTAATTCTTGAGTGGGCCCGGTGTGCCACAATAACTCAAAAAATCTCAACAAAAATCTCCCAAGCGAAAAGCAGTCCTTATTAATAGCCTAGGCATCTCTTCATTCATTTGCATTCACCACGAAAGAGAGTAGCAAAGACTAAAGAAATTAGGGAAAAAGAATAATAATACTGTTATAGCTAGATCATGGCTGAAGTAGTCCTCTATGTGTATGACATGAACAAAAGTGGTGGGCACGACGCTCACAACTTCGCCGTAGTCCAAATGAACAATCTCCTCAAAGATGGCATCAATTTCGGCGGCCTCTTCCACACCGCCGTCCAAATTTACGGCAACGACGAATGGGCTTACGGCCACACCAACAAAGGCAGCGGCGTTTTCAGTTGCCCCGCTGGTAAAAACCCTAGCTACACCCTTCGCGAGAAAATTATACTCGGCAGAACACAGTGTTCTCCTTCAAAAGTAAACAAAATTTTAAAGGAGCTCATTGACTCGTGGCCTGGCAACAAGTACAACTTCGTGTCAAGAAACTCGAAGCATTTCAGCAACGAGTTGTTAGAAAGACTTGGGGTCCCTAAGCTTCCCGGTTGGGTTAACAGGGTTAGTAACATAGCAGATGCTGCAAAGGATGCAGCAGGTACTCTGCTTAAAGCTAAAGACGAAGCATTAAAACTTGTATGGAATCCTATTGATTTCGCTTTCGGGAGTGGCTCTAAGAACAAATCCAGTAGTACTAAATCAGTAAAAGCTACTCCTTGTGAATTTAATATAATCAACATCAACTATTTCACTGAAAACTTCACAGTTTCAGCTCCTGTTGTACAAAATGAAGATGACGATGAACATGTCAACCACCAGCTGCCTGAAATCAAAGCCATTGAAGAGCCTCCTGCTATCCAAATAGTTGAAGAGCCAGATGAATATGATGAACCTGTTATCCACAAAGATGATGAGAAGTCCCATGTTATAGAGAGCGACGACGAGAGTACTACTGTTGTCCGCAAAGATGAGGAGCCTAGTACTGTTATTCACACCGACGACAAGCGCGTGCCCATGCATGCCTGAGTTTGCACTAGGAAACAGAATTTCCTTGTTGGGAGATAAATAGAAACTGTTTGAGTGGCCTTTGATTGTAAATTACTCCTAGTTCTCTTCTGTTTTCTCTTTTTCTTTTATTTGGTCTGTTTCTGTGTGTGTTCGTTTTTGTTTTGCTCTACGTAAATTATGTGTGTGTAATTGTGTCAGATTTAGTTTTAGAAGAATTTCCTCTTTGTTTCTACTCCTCCTTTGCTTTGTTTTTGCTTTCTTTTTTAATTTGGTTGGAATACTATTTCTCTCGTCACCTTTGTATATTATGATCATTAAGATAAAGTGAATGCTAGTTGACGGTGGTATGCTACCTTGATATTTGGTTTTTTAGTCGGTTAAGAAAGTGAGTTCACCTGTTTTTGAATTAGTTTACATTATTTTACTTTTATTACTTATATAGAAGCCACAAAGAAAGGAGAGAGCATGGGGTAGTGATGCTTGTGGGGGCATTTTGTAGTTTGTTTTGGGTGGCATAGGAGAATTGTACTCTCTGCTTTATGGTTCTATTAGGACAAACTTGTTCCTCAGAGAACGGACCCTAAAGAAAGTCCTCTTCCACTGATAGATGAGAGAGATTGTCTGCTTGAACTAGGTCTCCCCTTTTCATATTCCCTGTATAAATTCTTATGGAACTCTTTAATAGTTGTGATTTCCTATGTTTCAACAATGATTCTGTCATTTATTTTCTGCCTGTCGATATGATTATATCCCCTGCATCCTTTGGAAATAAACTGGTATTCTTATGTCCTTGCTGAAGCCGCCGACTCTGGATCTCTATTTCGAGGAAATCTCCTCTTAAGGAGAAAGAAAAGGAAAATGGTGTAACTACATCACTTGATTGAAGACACAAATAATAGATTGGGAGCCTTTTAAGGTGGATTGTATATATTTTGTAAATAAAATTTGTTTATGTCGGATAATTAACTAAACATGAACATTAAAAGTAATAAAGTTTCAAATAATGTATAGGAATGCAAAAATCCCTATTCATTTTCTCCTCTAATTCGACTAGAACCGGCCAGTTCCAATGACAAACATACATTTTTTGTTAATTGGCTCAGACCGGCCCGTACCAATGACAAGTATGCAATTTTTCTGATTTGGCCCAAACCGGCCCCAGCTTAATGGGGGCATTTACATCTATACCCATTTTTTTGGATCGCGTTTTAATTTGTGCCCGCTTTGCAAAAAAAATTGCAAGCGTACCCACTTTTTCACGTAACTTCAGCATACGGGGCTGAAGTAGCAAAGGCAATCACACAAAACATCAACATTCTAGTAGACGGGACTGAAGTAGCAAGTATGCTGAAGTTTTTGTTTGTAATTGCTGAACTTAAGCATAGTAGCTGAAGTTTTGTTCTCTATTTGCTGAAGTTTTTGTTTTTGTAACTGGCGAACTTTACCTCTAGAGCTGAAGTTTTTGTTTTTGTAACTGGCGAACTTCAGCTCTAGAGATGAAGTTTTTGTTTTTGTAACTGGCGAACTTCAGCTCTAGAGATGAAGTTTTTGTTTTGTAAAAGTTTTTGTTTTGTAACTGTCAAACTTCAGCTCTAGAGCTTAAGTTTTTGTTTGTAACTGGCGAACTTCAGCTCTAGAGCTCTAGGGGGCATGTTGTACCCACGCGAAGTAACTTAAAGCAACATTAATAGGAACCAAAAAACATCAACACATTACCAATCCAATCGACAACTGAAATCTCTAATTTCCGCCATACCCAATTCACCAAACAACAATGTTAAATTAATAATTAATTTCTCTTGTCTCATTTTCACATCAAAATTTTGCATAAGATTGAAGTTGCAAAATCAAGATAGAATCTTTACAGCTGAGGGTGTCGGCGAAAAGGAAAAAATGATTGAAAGGAGAAATAAGAAGAAGCAGATAGGGATGAACCTTACTTCTGGAAAAAGAAAAGATAAAACTTTGAGGAGGAGAAAGGGGACTGAAGTTGTTTAAAAAGTGGGTACAAGTTAAAACTTTTAAAAAAATGGGTATAGGTAAAATGGGGGCGACCAAATGGGGTGCCCATACAAATTTTTACGGCTTAATGACAACTTGACAAGTATACATTCTCTCTGAATTGGCCCAGACCAGCCCCACTAAATAATTAGTTGTCAGTAAATAATATTTTTTTTCGTACATTCCCGTGAGATTTCCATTTATATTCTACTACCATAATTATGATAGCTCTCCTAAGTTGGAATGCACCATAAAAAAGAGAAGTAACACAACAATTACACAGAGCAAATCAATGAAAGAGTGAGAAAATAGATAGCGAGGAAAGATATTAAGTGAAGTTGTATTGTGGTGAGGTGAGGTGGAAAAATAAAATAGGGTATTTTTGCGTGTGGCGCCTTTGTGATACTCGAGTATTGTAATTAATCTCACTACAGTAATCCTGATTTGCTTTTTAGTGGTCATGATTTTTTCCTTGGGGTGTGTTTGGTATAAGGGAAAATATTTTTCAAGAAAATATTTTTCAAGAAAATATTTTCTTGAAAAACAAGTAGTAATCTTATTCAATTTTTGGGGTTTTATATGCAAATTAAGAAAAATAATTTCTCAAGAGTATTCATAAATAATTTAGATACAATAAACATGAAACCATAAACTTTCAAACTAACAACCTTTTGAACCCACAAATTTCATAAACTTACGAATCGCTAAACTTTATAATTTCTAAACCCGTAAATTTCCAAACACATAAACCTCCGAACTCATAACCTTGGAACTTGTAAAATTTCGAACTGTAAACAAAAAGATGAAAAAACTAAAACTGAGAATATATATATAAAAAAATTCTGGGGTGTGAAATTTGAAAAAAAAAGTAAAATAAAATAAAAAGTGTCGGGTTGTGGGGGTGGGGTGGGGGTGGAGGGTG